TTGAAGAGTTAAACGATTTTGATATTGACTGAAGCCATATACGGGCCATTTCTCAATGTCGAGTACACATGCTGCAGAGCCACTATTTCAAGTATACTACGTCATAGAGTGGCGCAGAATGCTGGGCATTTAAGCACAGTCCTTCGGCGCCACTCGATGACGTAGTATACTTGAAATAGTGGCTCTGCAGCATGTGTACTCGGCATTGAGAAACGGCCGTGGTCTGACACATGGCAGCCATTTTGTTAAAATGGTAGTGTTTTCTCCAAAGTGTCACTGGTGTTTAGGGTTGCAAAGGGGCGGAAAATTTCCGGAAAGTTTCCATGGGAAGTTAAACTGGGGAAGTTTGGAAATATTCGATGCAAAATTAAACAAAAAACATGACATTTCAACAGATTTTTTTTTTAAATGTTAAGTAGAACAGAACAAGTTTTAATTATTTTATTGAACAATTATTTGTTTAATTGAACAACGAAAACAGGAATGTTGAGTTCAATATTACTCATCCCCCCCAACCCCACTCATTAAAAAATGAACAAAAATGCACCCCCCATCCAAAAATCCCCACAAAGTCCCACTCAAAATGTTAAATGAAAAGAGCCCTTCTCCCTCCAAAAAGTCCCATTAAACATGCACATGCACATCTTCCTTCAAGCGATCCTCTGCATTTTTGCTAAACCCTTTCAGTCAACGGGCTCTTCCTGGGCCTCATCAACATCCAACTCTGAGTCTTCCTCTTCAGTGTCACTGTCCAGCCTTGTTGAGGATGGCTCTGTGTCCGGCTCAAAGAGCCTTAGGTTTGCCCGAATGCCAACCAGTTTTTCCACTCTCACATTTGTGAGCCTGTTGCGAACCTTTGTGTGGTCTCAATAGCCATGCAGTAAGCAGTGTGCTATGGCATGGATATTCAAGTGTACTTGAATGGCATCTGTTTGTTTTAGTCAAGATTATGCTAAAATATACTTTCCCCAACTATATTTAAGTTCCCTATGAAGAGCCAACCTTCAATAGCCGTAACTAACGCTATTTGTCATTCTAGTCGGATCCATTAGAGCAGGGGTCTCCAACACGTCGATTGCGAGCTACCGGTAGCTCGCAATCCCTCAATAAATAGCTCGCTGAGCAAATCCTAAATGTAAAAAATACACACAAAAAAAAGGAAATGTAATTAAAAGAATCTATAAACGAAACCTCAATCATAGCGAACTCTATCTACTTACTACAACTCTATATCTATCTAACACCCCTCCTCCCCCCACAATGAATATCGACCAATCACGTTCTTGCAACAGTTTAAAAGGGGAGTGATTAGTAAAATATGCATAAAGAAAAAGAAAGAATGCTAACTAGGTAACATAAGATAAGAATAAACAAGTTTAAATGATTTGTTATTGGTGATCATATTCTAAAGATGTTTGGATTATTGAAAAGTATACAGCTCTCTTTCATATGAGTGTTGAGAGCTGTATCCATGAATTCATTTTGTGCTCAAAGTGCACCAGATTGATGCATTTCACTTCAATATTTTAAAACAAATCTTCCCGGGGGAACATGCCCCCGGACCCCCCTAGAGGAGGTGAGGTCCACCCCCAAATAAAGCAGGTTAAAATAATTAAATTGAATACATTTTCTTTTAGTAAACACTGTTTTTTGCAGTGTATATATTTAGCACATATTAACATTATTATATGCTTACATTTAACCTTTGTGTGCCGTTTGGGTCTGTGGGACCCGTTTTCAGTGTTTACTAAAAGAAAATGTATTCAATTTAATTATTTTAACCTGCTTTATTTGGGGGTGGACCTCACATCCTCTAGGGGGGTCCGGGGGCATGCTCCCCTGGGAAGATTTTCTTTTTAAATGTTGAAGTGAAATGCATCAATCTGGTGCACTTTGAGCACAAAATGAATTGATGGATACAGCTCTCAACACTCATATGAAAGAGAGCTGTATACTTTTCAATAATCCAAACATCTTTAGAATATGATCACCGATAACAAATCATTTAAACTTGTTTATTCTTATCTTATGTTACCTAGTTAGCATTCTTTCTTTTTCTTTATGCATATTTTACTAATCACTCCCCTTTTAAACTGTTGCAAGAACGTGATTGGTCGATATTCATTGTGGGGGGTGGGGGGAGGAGGGCTGTTGGATAGATATAGAGTTGTAGTAAGTAGATAGAGTTCGCTATGATTGAGGTTTCGTTTATAGATTCTTTTAATTACATTTCCTTTTTTTGTGTGTATTTTTTACATTTTGGATTTGCTCGGTGTTACGGTTTTGTATTTATGTTTTCATTTTCCACCTTTTTTTAAAAATGTTTTCCTCCTTGTGTCTTCTCTGTTTCTTCTTCCTGTGTTTGCCTTCCTGTCGTTAGTTTCCCTGGTGTGTCTGATTGTCTGATTGTGTTCACCTGTTGCCCTTGTGTTTCTGCCTCCCTTACCCCAGCTGTGTCTTGTCTTGTGATTACCCCTCTCTGTATTTAGTCTTGTCTTCCCCTGTGTGCCTGGTCGGTTCATTGTTGGTTTTTCCTGTCTCCCTCCATGTCAGTCACGGTCAGTTTTGTTTGTATTCGCTACCTTGTGCTATCTATGTTTTTTCATGCCTTGTTTCTGTGCTCATCGGCTTTGGAATAAAGCTCGCCTTTTGTTTATAGACCTTTTTCTTTTTTGAAGTCTGCATTTGGGTCCGACCCTTTCCACGCTACCTAACACTCGGCGAGCTATTTATTGAGGGATGGTAGCTCGCAATCGACGTGTTGGAGACCCCTGCTCTAATGGATCCGACTAGAATGACAAATAGCGTTAGTTACGCCCATTCCGTCAGCCTCTCAATCGTTGAAACACAAACTCTTTTTTTTTTTTTTCTTTTTTCATTTTCATTTTCAGGGGGGCCACAGGGGGGGGTCCACAGTCAGTGTTAGGGGGGCACCGCTAGAACCGCCCCTGAGTAGAGCTTAAAGTATTTTTATTATTTTTATACATTATACAAAGCTTATTTATATAGGAACGTCACTGGTGTAATGTGTTACCAGGGTGAAGAGTAACACCAGTGACGGTAACACCAGGTTGCAAAATACCGGGAATTTTCAAAGATGGAAGATTTCCATGGGAATTAATGGGAATTAACTGGGAATTTTCTAAATTGAAGGTTGGCTCTTCATAGGGAACTTAAATATAGTTGGGGAAAGTATATTTTAGCATAATCTTGACTAAAACAAACAGATGCCATTCAAGTACACTTGAATATCCATGCCATAGCACACTGCTTACTGCATGGCTATTGAGACCACACAAAGGTTCGCAACAGGCTCACAAATGTGAGAGTGGAAAAACTGGTTGGCTTTCGGGCAAACCTAAGGCTCTTTGAGCCTGACACAGAGCCATCTTCAACAAGGCTGGACAGTGACACTGAAGAGGAAGACTCAGAGTTGGATGTTGATGAGGCCCAGGAAGAGCCCATTGACTGAAAGGGTTTAGCAAAAATGCAGAGGATTGCTTGAAGGAAGATGTGCATGTTTAATGGGACTTTTTGGAGGGAGAAGGGCTCTTTTCATTTAACATTTTGAATGGGACTTTGTGGGGATTTTTGGATGGGGGTTGCATTTTTGTTCATTTTTTAATGAGTGGGGTTGGGGGGGATGAGTAATATTTAACTCAACATTCCTGTTTTCGTTGTTCAATGAAACATAATTGTTCAATAAAATAATTAAAACTTGTTCTGTTCTACTTAACATTTAAAAAAAAAAAGATCTGTTGAAATGTCATGTTTTTTGTTTAATTTTGCATCGAATATTTCAAAAATTCGCCAGCTTAACTTCCATGGAAACTTTCCGGATATTTTCCGGAAATGTTCCGCCCCTTTGCAACCCTAAACACCAGTGACACTTTGGAGAAAACACTACCATTTTAACAAAATGGCTGCCATGTGTCAGACCACGGCCGTTTCTCAATGTCGAGTACACATGCTGCAGAGCCACTATTTCAAGTATACTACGTCATCGAGTGGCGCCGAAGGACTGTGCTTAAATGCCCAGCATTCTGCGCCACTCTGACGTAGTATACTTGAAATAGTGGCTCTGCAGCATGTGTACTCGACATTGAGAAACGGCCCGTATATGGCTTCAGTCAATATCAAAATCGTTTAACTCTTCAATACAATACATTTTCCGGTTCAAATTTTCACCCCTAGGGCTATGAAATGAGTAACACTAATGACAGACTTGAAAGACGCACGTAACATTTGAAGATAAAATGACACCTTTAACAAAGTAAGAAGTATCTGACTTTCCTTATGTCTTTGTCCACTGCACTGCCTCAAATGATCTCTTGTTACAGGAAGCACTTCAGAGACGCTTCATTAGAGCGTAAACACTGTAACTATAAGTATCTGAAATAAATATGTGAACTGAAACAAATACCAATAACTGTATTGCATTGTTTTCTTATGCGCAATTACTTCATACTGTCTTTGTCTTTTTTGTCCTGCATTTATTGGCCCCCCCTCAGAAAATAACTGGCCCCAGCCTGGCCCCCCAGTCAAATTGGTCTAGAACTGCCACTGGCTCTACTTGTTGTGGATTCATCAAGTTAAGAGTTAGTTATTGCTATTTAACAGGTTTTAGATGTGTTTAGAAGGAATATATTTCAGCAGACTTGTATCACCCAGATTCCACATTTTCTGTAGTACTGTGCTATATACCTGGCTGCTAAATCCTAAGAACTGTTACAGGATGTGCATTCTGAAAATTATGAAACTTTTTATTTTGTATTATATCATAACTTAGTACTTTTTAATGCATGTAACATATGTAACATGTTACATGAAGCTGTCTGTGGCTCGTTTTCTGCTGTAACTACGTACATTTCCCCCTCTGTGGGAAGGATTCTGATTACGTGACATTCAGCACGCGCCCAAATGTGCGGATGTGGAATGTCACGTAATCAGACATTACGTGACGTTACGTATACGGAGGAGGCTGTCTTTAAATACCGGGAGACTCCCCTTCTGCACCACCACTTCTGCGGAAAAGCTGAACTCAGGAGGAGCATACACATTCCAGTTCGTGTTTCCACCTCTCTAACTGAACGACTCAAGGTAAGATACATTACATATCCCACGGCAGCCTACACCACAGCCATCTCCGTGAGTGATACGAGCCATTCACCGGCACATTGAGAGTGGTTTAAAGGGGGACTAGATGCGCATTTGTCGCTGATCAGTATCGATCATGTTGATTAGTTGTTCGTGAGGCTGGCATCCATCTTCAGTTTTTGACCGGTTACCCTTTTGTCTGCAAGTGTAAAATGTGTGTATTTAGGTTTTTATGTTTGTGAAACAGAGTGGCCGAAGCAACAGGATGTAGGCCCGTCTGCGTAATGTACTTGTTGCAGTGACTCTGATGCCAGTAAATGAATTGGTTTTAAGAACGATGCTTTAAATTGTAGGAACACCTGTTATGAAATATTCTATTGGAAATACCCCAAATAGCTTACCCCAATAGTATAGGTTAATATAAGAACCCTTAAGTGAAAGTGGTTTGGATCTGTTTCTGTTGTTACAACAGATTGTATGTTGATTCAATATACGCAGTGTTACACAAGAAGACACCATTGTCCTCTGCTGCCCATGGAGACCAGCATCCACACAGCAGTGGGCCATACATGAAGCTGACATAGATCATTGTGGCATCAATCTGCTGGCCCATGGGAAAGCAGATATTGGTAGGAGCGCTGTTGGTGCTGCAGATATACTATCACTATCAGTGATTTGCCAGATTTGCGTTCATGTCATTGTTATGGTATATTATTCAACATATTTACAGTTTGAAGCCTCCCTCTTTTTTTTTTGTATCCTAAATGTTATCCCATTTCACTTCCATTTGTATTTCTTATTTGTTGTGTCATTTGCTTTACATTTTATATATTCTTTAGGTTTTACTACCATCATCATTTTGCTTTTTCATCTTAATTTCTTATTTGTATGTCTTGGATTTTTTTTTTTTTTACTTTGCTATATTGTGTATCAGGTCAATACCTCGCTGTATTTTCAAGTTTAAAATAAGTATTTAATTCATTCATTTTCTAAGTTCCATCCTGTTGGCATCTTCAGTAGATGTTCTAACTAAATTCTGTGACTTCACAGTGGAAACTAAATCAAGCTAGTAAAGTTACTCCCGCATTTTAAGCAAATCATTTTTTGGATATACTGATGTTTTGTCTGATCATATAGTCTAAAATTCAAAAGTGCAGAGACAAATATAGTCTCCTGTCAATGGTGCAAGTAAAGGCCAGCTACTGGCCCTCAACCGTGATACCTGACACCCCATCAGAGCTAAGTACACCCCCACTGACCTGTTTCTGATCAAATTAAGTAAATGTCATAATGTACAAGGAAACATGATAATGCAAGTTTGCATAGAGACGTTTTTGTGGTCCAGTTATGTATAACCGCTACTTGTTTTAAATCCCCAAAAATGTATATAATCCAAAGATTAACTCAAATCTTCAAACTGTCTCATATGTAATGTAGCACTCCTTTACTGCCTCTCCGTTTCCACACTCGCCCCCCCTCCTGCCCCTTTGAGCGAGAGATAATAGGATAAAGGGATATTGGGTATGTCTTTCCTACTATTGTGTGCAAATTCCCCATGCAGAGGTCTTAAACACTCTTTGAAGGAAGGTATTACAGGGCATTAATCCTGTCAGGCTCTACACTACGTGCTCGTCTCCACATCACTAAAGATCCAGGCTAGACATGCTGATGATGTAAGAGCCTGTAACAGCCTGTAAGCGCGAGCACTCAGCCATGCTTGCTTGACCAGGAAACACAAATAGTAGTGAGTGGGGGATGGTCTTTGCTGGATGGAAACCGGTTGCAGTACTTTTCCAGGCAGTGGTCGCCATAGAGACCCAGCGTGGCCCTGTGAAGCAAGAATTACTGCCATTTAAGGAAGTAAACATGAGATAAGAGTTGTTGACTTAAGGAGTAGGGAACCCGGAAATTGTGGTTGTCAGGGGGAGGGCACACTATCAATTATTTCTCTGAGATGAAGAGGGAATTCCTCTTCCGACTCATGGTTGGATGAGAGAGCAGTCACGTACGCCGGGGAACAACCCATTCAAACTGTCTCATACGTAATGTAGCACTCCTTTACTGCCTCTCTGTTTCCACACTCGCCCCCCCCTCCTGCCCCTTTATTTATCTGGGTTTCCTAACACCTCTCTACTTTCACACAGATGTCCACCAAGGAGAAGCTAATCAGCCATGTGATGAAAGAGGAGCCTGTTGGCAGCAGGAACAAGGTGACGGTGGTGGGGGTCGGCATGGTGGGCATGGCCTCTGCCATCAGCATACTGCTCAAGGTGAGACACAAAGATGGGATGTGTGAGTAAAAGAGCTGGTGAAATCAGCATCAAGGGAAAGTAGATGGGATGACAGCTTTCAAACAGTGATAGTACATCAAACAAAATAACTCATAAGACTTAGGGTAAACCCTTGGAAAAGAAAAAGCTTAGATAAATATTAGAAAGTTCTATGATTTCAGATTAGATGAAGTAATAAAGGAATTCAACTGAGAAACCTAAAGTCAAACTAACTTTAAAGGTGTGCTATCTACTGGAATCTGACTGCGTGTGTAATGCTTGGTTAACATTTAAAAAAATACTGCAAGCTTCCAATTATAAAAAAATTCACAGGAAACATTGCATTTCCCTTATTTATTCCTGTTCAACTCCCCGCAAGGAAGCTGGATCCTTTCCAAATCCGAAACAAAAGAGTTGCAGGGAAACTAGGTCACAGGTCTTACAACTAACAATGCTGTTCAACAGTCGAGGCAGAGATGAATGGTATGTTTCGTGACTTTATATCCATGTTATACCAGCTACTGTGAATACGCCTCATTGTAGCTTTATTGATGAAATAAAAGCTACTCTTAAATAGTGTATGGGTTTCAGAATTACCAGATGAGTTAATCGACCAAAACAGTTTTTGGATGATTACTTAATCATTAAAGTAATATTTTCAGACCCTCAAATATAGAGTTCATGCTTTCCTCTGCTTTATATCATATTAAACTGAATATATTTTGGTTCTGACTGACAATATAAGACATTATCTTGGACTTTGCGAAACTGGGATGAACATTTCTTCACTATTTTCTGTCTTTTTTTTTTTATATTCCGAATGACTCTGAGACTGATTAACTGAAGAATAAAAGTATGTGTAAGTTGCAGACCTAGCCAGAATGACTCATTATATATATATTTATACAAACAGGACTTGTGTGATGAGCTGGCCATGGTTGATGTGATGGAGGACAAGCTGAAGGGTGAGGTCATGGACCTGCAGCACGGATCCCTCTTCCTCAAGACAAAGATTGTGGGAGACAAAGGTGAGAACGCACAAAAATATCTTCCCTTTTAACTCCTGAATAATTTATTTTGAATCTGGTATGTAAACTTGACTCTCACTGAAACTATAACTCTGCAGCTCCATTAGAACCCCTCTTGTTTTGTTGATTTTCAGACTACAGTGTGACAGCCAACTCCAAAGTGGTGGTGGTGACAGCTGGAGCCCGTCAGCAGGAGGGCGAGAGCCGTCTGAACCTTGTGCAGCGCAACGTCAACATCTTCAAGTTCATCATCCCAAACATCGTCAAGTACAGCCCCAACTGCATCTTGATGGTGGTGTCTAACCCAGGTTAGACAGGCGGGGGTTTGAATGAGTGAGGGAGGAGGGGAAATGTGAGAAGAGCAGTTGTGGCTTGAAATAGTGTTCAGGGGTACTGGAAGAGAGTAGCACCTTCCTAATTTGGGTTGTCCCCCTTTACCCTTTCAGTGGACATCCTGACCTATGTGGCCTGGAAGCTGAGTGGTTTCCCCCGTCACCGCGTCATTGGCTCTGGCACCAACCTGGACTCCGCCCGTTTCCGCCACCTCATTGGAGAGAAGCTCCACCTCCACCCTTCCAGCTGCCACGCCTGGATCGTCGGAGAACATGGAGACTCCAGTGGTATGAAGCTCTGACTAAAAATAAAATGTCTGCACATTGCAGTGTTCCTGTTTGTTGGTGTACTGCAAATCGTTCAATACAGCTGCATCATTTTGCCACAATTACATTTATTCTCCATTTCATTTATCACTTTTGTGTGTTTCTCACAGTGCCTGTTTGGAGCGGTGTGAATGTTGCTGGAGTGTCTCTGCAGGGTCTGAACCCACAGATGGGGACTGAGGGTGACGGTGAGAACTGGAAGGCTATTCACAAAGAGGTGGTTGATGGGTGAGTAAACAATAGTTTCCAGTAATCCACCAATGACCTGAAAGAACTTCCCTGCAAACCACATTTTTCTTTCTCCCACACTGATGAATCTTATCAGCAAATCAATCGGCCATGTGCATACAGGTCATCCGTCCATCTGAGGTTGAAGCCATACATATTATGTTTTATTAAAACACACTTATAGGATGTATTAGCTTACTGTGACAGTTACCTATTTACAAAAACATCAAAAACATACTTACATACACAATTTGATCAAGATCTAGTGGAGCTCACTAGCCCTGGAAAGGAATGTAATCAGTGATGTGGGCCAAAAGGCAAGCAGAGGCGGGTACACAAAACACTTCTGTGTTGTTGGCTTACTGGTGCCTGGTAGCCAGTGCAAACACAAAAGCTATGCTAGTCCCCATAACATAACGGCGGCGTGCGTTGAAGCTTCAACGCTTCTGCCCATTCACTTTGAATGGGGTGACGTCACGTTTCGCCAAACTGCATTGTGGGAGCGAAGCGTAGCTTCAGAAGCGTTGCTCGCAATGAAAGTTGAGCAATGTTCAACTTTTGAAGCTTCGGCGGAAGCGTCAGCCAATCGAATCCTATGCCAGTACAAGCTCTAGCCAATCAAACCGCGTGCTTGTGTGTCCGGGGCGGGAGATTCATGTGATTGGTTGTTGGTCGAGTTTCAGCCCCCCCCCCGCCGGCAAGCTTCAACGCACGCCGCCGTGTGGACGGGCCGTAATACCGTGCAGTTGTCCTCATGGCTTTGCTTACTCTCACAGGTCTGCATTAATGAAACACCAGACAATATTGAATCCTGATAAAAGACAGGTTCGCCCTAATTGAAGACTTTAAAGGTAGGGTAGGTAATTCACTTCAGAAACACTTTTTGTTATATTCCATGGAATGCTCTTAACATCCTGATAGCAATGAATATATGAAATGCTTTGACAATGAATAGATAAAAAAATGTCATCTGTGGAAGCCGTAGTACTGTAAAAAGCACGACCAATCATCTGAGCCAGCCCGGCTAAAATAACTGGATGGCCTACCTGCCTGTCAGCCTTCCATCTCGTGCACAAACTTATCTCGTGCCCTCATTGGTCATGTTCGTGTGTGTGTGTTGGAGGAGGGGCTCTATAAGGAAGTCTGAAGGAAGGGGCAGATTTTTTTTCGGTTGTGTACTTTCAAATTCTAGCGCACTCGAGCTGGTTTCTCCATTCTTACCTACCCTACCTTTAACTAACCATACCAACATAATAGCATTGCTATGTATAATACTTATGTGTGAAAGTTTACCCTGTAAACTTTGATACTTTACCATTATGTCACTGTCAGTCCACCTTATTTATATTCAAGTAGCTGAGTTCTTAAGGAGGTAAAATAGTATAACACAAGGGTTGATTTTCAGGAAATAAAAGAGACTAATGGCGCATTTCCACCACACGGTCGGCCTCGGCCACGCTCGGTACTGCTTGGCCGCGTTGGGCCTTAACAGGGCCGGCTCACTTCATGCTGCGCTTCCATTACAGTTTAGGAACTGGGGTAGTTACTATAGTAACGCAGTGTAGGCGGAGCCGTGACGTCATCTTCAGTGAGAACCCCAGAAAAACAACACAGCCGTTAGCTGTTAGCACTCAGAGCTCACAGCTCCTTATATATGTTCAGAAACTCGACAAAAGTTAAACAAGTACAAACCACAGACTGCCTGTGTCATGGTGAATACAGTCGCTGCTTTATTTATGTCTGTATAGGCCGTTGTTGTGAGTGTGGACGGTCGGAGCATATACTGCGTTAGCTTAGCCAATCTCCATCTAGAAAACACGCATTTTAAAAGGTTTTTCGCCTGCCGTCTGTCTGCAGACTTGCCAAAGCATTAATTCATGGTTTTTACTAACCGGTATCAGTATGTTGTTACTTCGGCATCATTTTGAAACGTGTATTACAATTAAATCACGGTCAAATATGTCCATCTTGTTGTAGTTGTAGCCCCCTTGCCAGCGATCCTCTCTCTAGTTTAGCAAACTCAGCCCGACTCAGCCCTGTTTGTTGGCCCCGATAGAACCACAATTTTGTCGGGCCAGAAAAGAGGTGAAAAAGTGGCCCCGGGCCGGGCCGGGCCGGGCCGGGCCGGGCCGTAACTAGGCCTAGTGGAAGCGCAACCAAAAACGGGCACGGCACGACACGGCACGCTTAAACCGCGCTCCGCGCCATGGTGGAAATGCGCCATAAGACTAAGGGAGAAAAGGGATGTTTATGTTTCACTGCTGTTTGTACAAGTACCTGCTTTATCTCATTCTGGCCAGCCAAATTAGCCTGGACATCCTAATTTACGCATGTAAATTGTTTATATTGCAATACAACTCTGAAAGAAAAGTGTTCTCTTTGAATTTAGGCCTTATGTTTTTGAGCTAATTTCCAATGACAACGTACAAACAGTCCCAAGTACCAAAGCACACAGATTTTTGTCTTTTGTCCAGGAAATATGCTGTTCTGACTTTTGTTTATTTTTTCTTTTATGTATTTTCTCTGCAGGGCCTATGAGGTTATTAAGCTGAAGGGCTACACCTCCTGGGCCATTGGCATGTCTGTAGCTGACCTGGTGGAGAGCATCATTAAGAACATGCACAAAGTCCACCCTGTGTCAACACTGGTCCAGGTAAAAAGATTGGCCAAATCCTATATCATACAATTCATCGGATTGCATCCACATACTGAACATTCTTTGAATATCATGTATCAATACCTTTTTATCCCCTTCCTCTGACAGGGCATGCATGGAGTGAAGGATGAGGTGTTCCTGAGCGTCCCTTGTGTCCTGGGCAACAGTGGCCTGACAGATGTGATTCACATGACCCTGAAGGCCGAAGAGGAGAAGCAGCTGCAGAAGAGCGCCGAGACCCTGTGGGGTGTACAGAAGGAGCTCACCCTGTGAAGAGCCTTCCTCTGAAGCCACTCTGACTCCCTCCTCCTGTACCTCCTTTGCCCCTTACCACAACAGGCGAATGAAACCTCTGAATGTCTAAAAAGGCCAAGTGTGTGTGTGTGTGTGTGTGTGTGTGTGTGTGTGTGTAGCTAAACCAGTGGAGGCTAGATTCTAACTTGAGATATTAAAACATGGGTGTCATTTCCCTTACAGCGTCCTGCCTCCATGACTGAAAATGTGGAAACCCAACTGGTATTTTACCCCTTCGAGCTTAGCCTGTGTTGGAGGGTGTATCTGTTGTTGTCCTCCTATCTACCTGTTGTTGTTGTCCTGTCTACACAAGAAAAGTGTGGCCTCTACATTGTAAGCGTAAACACTCCTATGTACTGCAATGTTTCTGTGCACCGTTACTGCTTCTCTCTGCACTCCTTGTCTGTAGTTTGTATTTATTCTGTGTGTTCTGTGATTGTTGCCAGTTGTTTTTTTCCACTTGGTCATCTCTTTATTTTGTATTTGGAGTCTAATGGAGACATTCCATTCACTATGAGGAGAGCTTCCTACTTAGTCGTCATAATGCTGCTGCTGCACATATCAATGTGATACCTTGAGTAATCAATGCTACGTTTACTGGTTGGCAAATTGAAGCCTTTGTTAACCACAAGTGCACTGACAGAAACATATTTTAAAAGTCAAGGTTCAAGATGCTGGTTAGAAAGGAGAATTAGAATGGCTGCCAACAAAGTGACTTAATTTAACTCATTAAGCGATAACAGAGAACCAAACGGGAAAGAGTCTGCTACAATCATGGCCTAGAGTCAGGTTATGAATCATAACAGAAACTAATGATCTTGGAAGGTGTTTGTTTGCACATAAATACCATAAAGGGTTTTGTATTTATTTGACTTCACTCTGGTAAGAGAAAAATGACGGTATTATTTATAATTAATATGTTTAGGATCTATTCATGTTACAACCTTCACTGAAGAATTGTACCTGTCATGGCAGCTAGATATTGATTATTTTTTGCTTTAACATTGAATAAATCTGCCTGGATAGTGAAACGTGGTGTTTGTCCTTTTTTAACTGTTTGTCATGCGAGCAAAAGGCAGCTTGGGATTGTTGACATTAGAGGTTTTTATGAGAGATCAAAGTCTCAAACTCCTGTATGAAATCAGCACAAGGTGAACATAATCTTAGATTCTGCTACATTTGCTAACAGACGCCAGTCATTTTAAAAGATTTACTTAGTGTTTGACAACTAACCACTGGATTCTAAATTACAGCTACTTCACAAATATTAAATTACTTTCTGTAGTTTGGCATTGCCAATAGGTGTGCAACAGAGAAAACACTTACATTTCACTTTTCTGTTATTAATAACCCATCAAAGAATGAGATCTACATCAGATTCCATTTATTTGTACTGATTTACATAAATCTACAGATATAAAAGAACAGGTGGTCTATGGTTGAATTGGAAACAAGAAAAACAATAACAGCAGATAATCTATCATACAATTCAAAGTGCATTTAGTAAAAGGCTAATTTAAATGATACCTGTTTGCAAACTTTACATAAGTTAACATTTTGATTAGTACAATATATTGTTTTGATTTTTTTGTACCCTCCAATGCTCCAGCTTTATTCACAACGTTTTTTCCCATGTTTACTGAAAACTTAAACCTCTCAGCAGGACTGAGAATAAGAGGACAGCACAAAGACGATAGAAAAGTAAAGAAAAGAAAAACAGAATTTCCTTTGTAATACATTACAATAAAGCATGTCAAGTCTGTCATCCAGAGTGAAACAACTACTGTACAAGATTGACTGGTTAATGCAGTCAGACTGGAGGGTAGACCTGAGCAGCTGACAGGTGAACAGGAAATGCAAATAGTGTGGCAGAGTAGCTCAAAATTGAACCAATTAAAAGACAGTATGTACTGTATGAAAAGTGATCTCTTGACTCCATGGTTACCGAACATGACTTGAACAGCATTAAATCCTGAGGCTGAGCCCCATGTCCTTCCTGAAAGGTTGGCCCGGGTATTTATACCCCGGGGCTATCCTTTTCATTATGAGGAGAGTGGACACATGGGTTCTTTTTACAAAGCCCCTCTCTACACGCCCCTAACAATTTGTGCTTACTAGCCAAATGACTGTCTGGCAAAGGGAGTGCGAACAGAACCAGCTCCCTGCTGTGCATCATGTACAGGTTGTCACAGTAACCAACAGTACGCCAACACAGATACACTACAGAGGAAACTAGGCTTTCACGTCACTATCAGTATGTCATGTGTGTTATGCATGTTTCTGTGTCAACCGGAGCACCTGGGTCACAATGTTGTCACAGTGCTTTTACTTATTGTTGGTGCAAATGGGTCATGATGGGTAATGCATTAAGATCTCAAATAATTATTTGGTCAGATCAAAAATACTAATTATTTCCTACGAGAACTGTGACCACATGGGACGGCCCAGTTCTTCATAAATGTTGCATTTTAAATTTGTGTTGCTGCGAAGTCTGTCTCATAAGAACAGATTGTATAGAGATAAAAAAAGAGGACAGCTTCTAGAAGACATAAAAGGGAATAATGGGAATAAAAAGAGAGGAGGAAGAGGAGAGAGTAAGGGAGCATGAAGATATGAATGTTTCCTGGCTGTCAGAGTGGGTCAGTAGAGGTCACTAAGGCCGGCAGTCTTGCGGGCTTTCTGCATGAGCGCACGAAGCTGGAACTGCTTCCTGGACAGAAGGCGTACATGCTGTAACAAAAGAGAATATGAGGCATTAAGGCTAAAATCACTCAGGACTCAAGTGTGTGTATGTCTTTGTCTCTTGAAATCTGTCTGATACACAGATAGGCTTCTAGTTGGATCATCTCCAGCAATTCCGTGACCGTGGAGAGTGGATCGTTTCTCAGTGGATTTGTAATCTATGAAGGGTTTAAAACAAAAATAACCCCCATGCCCCTTGCAAACATGCGGGCAACATTTTTTAGAGCCCTAAATCCAAAATGGCTGCCATCACCAATGTTGTTCAATACATGGTTTCTGGTACTTTTTGGGTTGAGGAATTCATATTTGATGTTGTTTTGATGATTTGACCTATTTTTGACCTTCAAATCCAAGATGGCCACCAATTTTTCAGCTCCAAAAGGTCTCTTCATCTGGCTTCTTTTCATAGCTCTCTGGCTACACGAACATAACATTTGTTTGATGGGCTCCAGTTGAGTTGCCTGTCATGGTATCAATCTTGAAGTCATCATTGTCGACGATCACAATGGCTGGCTTGCTGTCTGCAATCTCCTGTAGGCAGGTTGCTGAGGCCTCAAGATCCATCAGAGCCCAGTGGTCATAGAGGAGAAGTGTGTTTGCATAGCTGATGCTGACACCACTCTTGTGCAGAGTTTCTACCAGATCTTTACTCCTCGTCATGCCATGGACGCCCATGTTAATAGCAGTGGTAGTGCGCTGTCCTGTACTCAGGGTTCTTACACCTTTTCCAAAGTCAAATTCAAGCACTTTTCAAGCATTTTCAAGGTGCATTTTCAAGCATCTTACAGCTGTTGTAAATTACATATTTATATACACATACTTATACTCAAATGATTATTTCCCTACCTCACATTAAATCAGATGTTCTTTATGCTATATACAACCAAGGACTTGGACAACCAATGACTGTTGACCTCTGGGTGAGTGCTGCTTCCTACCTTCACTGGACTAACAATGGCTAATCCCAAACTGTACTGCTTTTTCCTTGCGTTATTCGCCGCCTCCCTACCCCCTCCTGCGCATAACAAATGCGAACCGCCACTACTATCATGTGTGATTATGAGGTATCTACACAAGATGATTACGTTACATTCCACTGTCAATGTGCGCACAAAACAAACTAGGCATTGGCATCTGATTGTATTACTACTGATGATATCGGGCAATGTGCATGTTCATCCTGGACCTTCTATTGTATGTAGCCCTAGTTCTGACCTGTGCCCTGATAGATAGATAGTACTTTATTGATCCCAAATTGGGAAATTGTTGAAATGTCAATGATGTCAATCTTTGTCACAATGATCTGAGTTTCCCTGACTTCTGCTCTCGTAAAGCTTTAGGTTTTCTACATGTAAATGCTAGAAGCTTACTGCCAAAAATTGACCAGATAAAAGTACTCGTTCACAGCTCAAATCCGGAGGTACTCGTCATCAGGCCGGAGTGGAGCTGTTTTATGTAAAAGCGAAGCAATTAAGCGCGCTCCGACTTCTTTATTTTCTTTTAATCTAAAAAGCGAAGTAAAGCATTTACAATTTCAAGCACTTTATCCCAAATTCAAGCACCATTCCCAAAATTCAAGCACTTTTCAAACCTTGAAAACACCTCATAAAATTTCAAGCATTTTCAAGGATTTCCAGCACCCGTACGAACCCTGTTTAATGTGGTAGGTGATCATGGAGGCCAGACTGAGTGTGGCAGGGCTAATGTCAGCAGTTTTTCTCTCAGGCTGTTTTAGCCAGGTCAAAAGCTTCAACAGCAACTTGCATACCTCTTTGCCTTCCTCGAGATGGCCAGGGGACAGTAGTTGTGTCTTTGACCTTCTTAGATAACCGCTGTGCCAGGTTCTGGAGCAGCTGCTCATCACTGATGCCAAGGGATGAGATGGCAGCCTCAATGTAGTCACCTCCTCCCCCAAGATCATAGACCCACTGGCTCTTGTTCATTTGATTTCTCTCTTTGAAGCCTTTTGTCTCTTGATACTCATTAATGAGCAGGCCCTTGACATACGACGATTTGACATCACCCACTTCATAGCCATAGTCACCGACAATGCGTTTGTATTCTGCTAAAAGAGACTGCAGTGAACGGATCTCTCGCTCAGTGAAGATGATGGAATCCACGTGTCTAAAGAACAAATTCCTTGCCTCTGAGAGAGACACATTCTGAAGATGCATTGCATCATCTGGCTTGAAGTGTGTGTGGTTGACGTACTTCCTCCAACAAGCATGGTGGTACATTACATCATTTGCGAAAGGATCAGACGTTGACTCGATGAGCCGTGTGAGGCGATCCCTCAGGTCCCCATCTTCTATTAGGACTGGGTGGCGCTTGAAAGAGCGCCATGCTGAGTGGGTGTTGAGTCTGAACAGTGTACCCCGCACTCTATTCGGGTGCTTCATGTCCTCACCCTGCATGCACCATACACTCTTTCTGGGGTATTTTTATTTCTTGTCTCTGTGTTTTCCTGCCTGTGTGATGGATTCCTGAAATAAAAGCTTCTGTTAAGTCTTCCTGGAAAGTGTTTCCGTGAGAGTTTGGCCCATTAGTTCGGTCATCTCCAGCAATTCCGTGACCATGGAGAGCGGAGGTTCAACAGATTCAGATGAAGAGTAGCGGTCTATTGTAATGTTGTAAATTCAATTTAACCTGTTAAGCCTGTTTTTCAGGTCTCAGGCTCGAAAATGACATTCCCAGAACAACCCTTCACTTCTAAAAGGGGTAAATGAATCATCCTTTTTCTCAAAGCAATAAACCTGTGAGTTGGATGTAGAAAAGTCAGAATCAATATAGATTTTTTTTTACAGACACATTGGATTAACCATTGGATTAACCTTCAGGGGCGTTTTTATCGTTTTAATGCCATTGAGTTCTGTGCTAAATGCGTTAGCATTTTTTCGCTCAGGGCTCATTAAGACGCTTCTTGTGAGACTTGTGTTTTGTTTCGGTAAAAATGGTTCGTATTGTAAGTTAGCTGAGTTTCTTCCCGTTAAGTGGGTATGACACATTAATAGGTTTTTAAATATTAAGAAGCCCTGAGACACAGTTTCGTGAAAAAACACCCCGCAGGCCCCGGATTAGGGGCCTCTCGGGCTTAACAGGTTAAATGCCTTGTTAAATTACTTGTGTAATACCTTGTATTCTATTAAACACATTTGTCATCAAATTCAACTGAATTCATTCATAAATTAGTGACCATAATGAGACATTTGTGAGCATAGAGAGCAACGGTTTGTTTCTCATCAGCCACAAATGTTGACCTTTTTGACCTCTGAGATGACCAACTCAGCAT